CAGGAGTATTCTTAGGAGCTAAATTATCACTGACTCCACTATAATAAATCTCTACAAGCAAGGTTTAGTTTTCCTACTGAATAGACTGGTCTTCTTCTGTCAGGTACTGGTCAGTTTCTGAAGCCTAGAAATGGTTCTCTCTGACAATATTATCTACTTCTATCATTACACTATAATACATGGATTTGCAAAACTCTTCCTCAGTCTTCTTCACTAACTATATTTAAATATCATTTGCCTGAGGAACATACTAAAAAATGTCATAGAAAATATTTTGAAACATTTCTAAGTATAGAAACTGATGCTATGCTAAATTACTGTTTTTCTTTTAGCTGTTAAAAATACCTTGGTTGAAAAGGCTTACTCAGGTGGACTTAAGTGGAAGAAACCTGCTAAGCAGAGCAAACAGCATTTATTAAGACACAGAAGCAAGTCAGGAACCTATGCTTAAGAATTCAGTATGTGAATTCCTTTCTATTTTTAGCTTTCTCTATCCAACTACAAAGACAGTCAAATCTCTTGTATCCTAAAAATGAGCTCAGTTGGCCACAATAACCTCTGATAGTTTGTTTGTTGCAGAGAGGATGCAACAATAACCTAATATTTTTAGTTCAATCTACTCATCAAATTTCTTGAAAAAGTAATCCAAACACTGTTCTCCCTCCCTTACCTCTAGTCTTCAACCCAAAACAAGGCCCATTCTCACTTTCGTAGAATCCTGATCAGGGAGACCAGGGGACTTTTCAAATGCCCAAATCCAATGCCTAGGTTTAAGTTTTTACCCCAACAGTCTCCCTGCTCCATATGACAAGGCAGAGTACTATCTGCTTCAGAATCTCCACTCCTGCACCAGCACTACATTGCCTTTTTATCCTTGGATTGTTCAGATTATTTTTCTGCAGACCTTTTAGCTAGGGCTTTCTTCTTGGATCTAAATGTCAGTGATCTAATGTCTGATTTGACCCTATCTACTCTACACTGCAACTAAGATAATTTCAGGCCTTCTTATTACTTCATGTTCATGGCCCCCACAGGTTTCTAACTATAAAAGATCTCTCACAGTATAAGACTATTTCTAATGACTGAAAAATTCTAACTTAATATTCATAAGAAAATCATAATAAAGCTTCAAGACTCTCACCTACAAACCTACTCTTCCTCCTGCATTCCCCTCTTCTAGGGGTACCAAGATCATCCAAACTACCTAATCTGGAAACCAATGTAAAGCCTTTGATTGTTGCTCCTCTCCTTTCTGCTGCAATGACATCAGTTAATTTACAAACTTCATTCATTTTATCTCCAGGCTACTCCTAAATCAATTTTGTTCCTTGTTTCTTCCATTTCAAGGTGGCTATATTGATGCAGCTTTGTCAAGACGGTTTTGTAAAATAAGTACATAAAAATTAACTTCAAGGATACCCCCTAAGCCAAGACACGTGGGGGTGGGCCTAGGCCCTATCCCAAAGGATAAGATAGACTCTGATGACACCCTATGGAAGGCCTCACCCTCCAGGGGGAGCAGAAGGGTATGTGATAGGTAGGGTTTTAGTTGGGGGGCAGGGTAGGAGAGAATGGGAGGGAGAGGGAACTGGGATTGAAATGTAAAACAATCTTGTTTCTAATTCAAATTTTAAAAATCTGCAAAAAAAAATTAACCACAAGTAAAATTTAGTTTTCCCCTCAAGTTAAAAGATGAATGATTCCAGTGTTTTCTCTCTTAAAACTTTAAGGTCATAGTAGCTGATGTTCCCAAATATAATGTAAGACCAAAAATAACTAAAGAAGTATTTCATTTTATGTTGCATTATATTTTCCTGTCCAAAGTGTACAATTTAGATAAACTACTCTTGCATGTATTAGCAGGAAAAAAAATGCACATATCTTCTAAGTCTGCCCCCCAAACTTCCTCCTTACTTATTTTATTTTTGTTCTTCTCCCATTTGTATCCATATGATATAGGTAACTGAATTCTTGAAAGTATTCGAAAGAGAATAGTGGAAACCTACTATGGAAGTAAAACGTGTTACTGATAAAAACACTACTGACATGGTATTATATAGCCCACAGTCAGAAAATGAAAGATTTCTCTCTTCAAACATGCTGTTTGGTGTAGGTCGGTCCTTATCAAAAGGACATGCAGGCAACCACATGCTCAAAGAAATGTGGAGAACTACTGTTTTTGCCAAAAAACAGTATCATTTTGAAAACTATGTAAGTTTTAGATCCTTGGAGCCACTGCAGATTTTCAGCTCCATTTAGCCCAATTTTCATGAGTACATATCCAAACAATACATGACTTTTCATGAGAAACTCTAAATTTAACTACACATATGATACAAAGAACAAATAATCACATGAAAACAAAGAACTCATTTTGATTGCCTTGATGAAAACATGGTACAGCTACTTTGGAAAGCTGGTTTCTTATGTTTATAATGATATATGTTTAATAAATCAGTCTATTGGTAGGTTTTTAATCCCAAAAAATAAATGTATATATTCATCAAGTATATTTAATATTTATAGGTAATATATATACTAAATTATTACATTTAAATGTATAATGTGTAATATATTATTCATAATAAACAATGGTGTTTTATATTATAATTGTAGTGGTATTCAAACTTGAGTTGCAGAACATTATGAAATCAAGCTTGATCTGAGTGTGAGTTTCTTTCATGCTAACTAATTTTCATAGTACTAGAAGATGCTACTTCAAGCTGTTGTACAAGAAAATTCATCAACAGTCCCCAGTTGTGCATCTCACAAGCTAGAAAGATCTGCCTGACAAGATATGCCCACAGGCGCAATAGTGGCATTACTATTATTGTGGTTACCAATGAGTTTATGATTATATTTTAATCCAACTCTATGGGAGAGAACTCATGCCTATGAATTTGATCAACAGTCTGTGATTAGAGAGATCCTAAGTCTGAAGGGAGAACCCACTCTTGTTTTGCTAAATGGACGTTATGAAACACTTTCTTAGGACTCATATCTATATCCATAGACTAGTGCAGCACTCACCCTTCACTAGAAAGGCTTCTTTTTACACTATGCAGCAGTTAATACAGAGTCATCAATATTCCACATGTGGAGAATAAGTGACTGTGGAGTGCTCAGAGAACACAAACGGAAAAAGGGATGGAAAAACTGTAAGAAGCAGAAGTTGCAGAGAGGTGCTAAAAACAGTGTCTTCTGAACACGACATGGCAACTGCACTCATGAACTCAATGCACCTGCACAAAACTAGACTGTCACCATTTCACGCATCTATTGAAATGACCATGTCATTTTTGTGTGAGTTTTCATTTACCAAGTAGTCTTTGGTTCTGGAGATATATTCTACTCATTCGTAGTCAGTTACATTTTTAATGTGCTGCTAGGTTGGCTTTGCTATTATTTTCTTAAAGTTTTGTCATCTATCTTTGAAATCCAGTGAAAACTTCAGTATGCCTTGTGTTAAAACCTTTTAACATATTAGCTATAGAAGAAACATACATCAACACAATAAAGGCTATATATATGACAAACTCAAAGGTAATCTCCTGGAAGAGAAAACTCAAAATGACTTCTAAGATCTGAAAGGAATACACTTGCAATTGCCACTTCTATGTAACACAGGACTCAAATTCTTGGGTAAAGAAATTAGATAAAACAATCTAGATAATATGAGGGGGTATAAATAACTCCTGTTTATATAACACATGATCTTAAAAGTTGAAAATTATAAATACCACCAAAACACTGCTAAAATGAATAAAGAAGCTAATAAAAGTTACAGGATACAGGGCCGGGTGTTGGTGGCCACACGTTTAATCCCAGCACTGAGGAGGCAGAGGCAGGCAGATCTCTGTGAGTTCGAGGCCAGCCTGGTCTCCAGAGTGAGTGCCAGGATAGGCTTCAAAGTTACACAGAGAAACCCTGTCTCAAAAAAACCAAAACAACAAAAAAAAGGTTACAGGATACAAATTCACTACAAAAAATTACATTCTTTACTTTTTTTGTTTAGTTGCCAGATTTACTAAAATATTCAGGATACTATGTCTTTCACATTGTTATGTTTTCTCTACATTGTCTTTGGATATATAATGATTTCACATAAAGAAAAATAATTTCATATAATTTCATATTCATTATATTCTTTATAATATCTAACTGGTCCAATAACTCAAAAATGTGCCTCACCTGATAACTGGAAAATACGAGGCACAACTACATCACTATTATTCAGACATGAAAAGTATGAAATATTAATATATGTTGTCATGTGTATTAATGAGGACTATGCCAAAACTATTAGGTCAAGTAACACTCTCTTCTGCCTCCACGGACACACATTTGTGCATGCACACATAATATAAAAGTAAAATGAAAATCTTTTTTAAAACAAAAGGAAGTAATAAATGTACTGTTTACAAACCCCATACTGGAAACAATCATATAAGAGCTTAAGACTAAGACCTGTCATTTTAGCCCTAGTTGCTATGAAGAGCCCTGTGTCCATAGCCAGATGACATAAAAGTCTTTTGAGCAGCTCTCACTAGAATTCACGTAGTAAACAGAACAAATAGTGTGATATTTCAGAAAAGTGGTAAAGAATATAGAAACAACAAAAGCGGGTCGAGACTGATAAGCAGAACATATCACTGAAATTCTAAAAATACTTCAGAGAATTTGAAATTTCTCATTAAATAATTCAGAAATACTTGAAATAAAATAGGAAGCAAAATAGCACAAAAATATTACCAAGTTTAAATAGCTGCTTAATAGTGCTTAGGCACTGGGGACTATGCAACCAAAGAAAGAACCAAATGGACCAAATTTCCTTCTGTATGTCAAAGAATCTAACATAAGTGTGTCAGGGACTAGGAATAACTATCACTAACACCTCCACACACAGAGTGAAGATGCTAGTATACACATACACACACACACACACACACACACACACACACACACACACACACCACTTTTGGATACATTTAAGTTCTTACCCTCTTCTGCTTCATCCTCCTGGGGTGACATTGGCCCCCCTCCGCTAGTAGGAGTGACTGGCTCCTCCTTGTCAGATTCTCTCTGCAGACTCACCACTTCATATATTGCATCTCCAGCACTGCTATGGCCTTTTCCCTCAGACTGAAAAAGATAAAATCATATATTTAAATATTAGAAATATAAATGTAAGTGAGACAAACCTGGGAGGAGCTAAGGAAGAGGGATAAATATAAATCGATAAGGAATAAATGGTATAACAATGGTTCATTAAAAACAGCTAAAATGAAGAGCAACATATCACATTTATCTAGAGCATATCTGAATTTGAGACTTTTTTTAGTACAATGTCCTTGGCATATTTTAAGTGAATTATTTACCTACCATTTTCCTCCAGTGCTGAGATCTATACATGCTGGTAAGCTTCTAGCATTATATTAACAAATTCAACTTACTAACCATTTTGATACAATTCAATTATTCTTCAAGGTATCACAAGTTTTAGGACAGGCAGCAACAGGCAGCAAATGATGTTTTATTGTTTTATTGGCTACCTCATACTGAGAAAAATAACAGCTAGACTTGCCAAATAATGGCTTGAACTCTATGTGGCCATTTTCTTTTCTGAGTCTAGACTTGGGATCTAAATTCAGGTCTGCATGGTTGCCAAGAAAGCATGCTACCAACTGCACCATGGTGATGCACATCTATAATCTTAGCACTTGGAAAGTGGAGACAGGAGGATCAGGAGTTCAAGTTCAAAACCAGGCCCAGTTACATGGACTCTGTCTTTAAAGAAAAGGGGAGGGGGTGTTTAAATTAGAACACACTTCAAACTGAATTAAAGCTGAAAACACAGCAAATCATACTGCTGAGTAACATCTAAACAAAGTATACAGGGAGATTTACTACAATTATGAATACTTATAAAAGATCATCATGGCTACTGTCAAAACATGATAGAAGTGACTCATGTCAGATATGAGGCAAAGAAACAGCAACACAGGAAGGGACGAGGGACAAGATAAATTTTATCACCATCTAGGGCCAACCCTTCAATGACTAAACCACAGACTAATATCCTTCATAAAATATACAAAATTCTTAACTAAGCATTAGAAAATCTTGAATAGGATTGCAATTCAGTGGCAGAGTACCTGTCTAGGATGCACAAGGCCCTGGGATCAATTTGTAACAATACTTGACAATTTATCTGCATTTGCAAATTAAAATCAGCTATTTGCCAGTTTACTGGAGGAAAATTATCAACAGTCTGACTCAGTTATGAATGTTGTATGCAATAATACTGACCAGTTGATCAAATGAATCCATGGGTGCAATAGTAGCAAGTCTGTTATTAGGGTTAACAACCACTTTATAATTACATTTGTTGCCTGATCCACAGGAAGAAATTCAAATCTGGTCCCCAAAACCAGGTCAAAAGTTCATAACTGAGAAGGTCATAGGTCACAGAAGGGAAACTGTTGCAGCTCTTTTGTTAAATGGGTATGAAATGACTGTCAATTTGATTTCTAAATAACTGGACCCACAAACTAGTACTACTATCCATCAGCTTCGATAAGAATAGCTTTATCCCTTAATCAGCAGCGACTTCAGACTCTCATTAAGTGTTCAATAAATGACTTTTGAATGCCCAGCCATAAATGGGAAAGCTATGTCATCGATCCAAGGCTCAGAACAGCATGATAGAAGGGACAGAAAAAATTTAAGAGGGTTAGGGTATGGAATGGAACACTGACTTTTGGGCATGACATGGCTATGCTACACTGCTCCTAGCTAGAATCTTGTTAAGGAAAAAAAATTCCTGGCCAGGACTTCATCAGATAGGATGTAAACACTGTGATTATCCTTCTCAGACATCAGCAAACTTTTTCTACAAAGAGTCGTACAAGAAATATTTTAGGCTTTGCAAGCCAGACAGTCTCAGTTGAGACTGCCCAAATAGGAAGTGTTACATGTTTCACCTGTACCCAGTTTCCTATACAAATCTACTGTTTTGAACCTAGATATTGTACTCATCAACTAAGTTTCAAATAAAGTATTTTTATAAATATGATTTTATTTTCAATATTCATATATTATTAGACAACTAAAAATCAATCTGTATATATTAAATAAACTGTCACGTTCATATTAAAGTTTAGTATCATTTAAATACAAAATAAGTACTCAACAATTTGACTTACAAAAACTCATTGGTTATGCATATTAACTCTAAAAGCTTTTTTCAATATGAAAAATACAAATACAAAAGACAATATGATGATAACTCTAATAATAAACAAATATCCAGAAGCCATGGATCATAGCACTGGCTAAAAGTAAGGACACAGGACTAAGGATATGTTCACATTTAAAACACTAATACTTTTGGCCACAATCTATAGGGTAAGATACAGGAAGCAAGATGAATTTTCAAAAGATCACGGCAATTCTGGTGCAGAGCTGAACTGTGAGCCTCGATCTACAAACAAGCCTCTTAACCTTTGAGTCACTACCCTACATAGAATCATGTAACTCTATGCATAGGTCATGAACAATTTGGCAATAGTGAAAGGTTTCCAAATGTGCAATAACCAAAACTAAATTCAAAATCAAACATGCAGCAAACCCCCACCACTGCATCACATGACTTCAATGAAGCCCTGGCTCTGAATATAACATGCCATCTATTGCCTGAAACACCATGGCTTAGATTTATGACTGTTAAATATTATGAACAGAATTTTTACTGCACATGTTTAAAAACATAGTTTACAAAAAAACATTTTTGCCGGGCGTTGGTGGCACACGCCTTTAATCCCAGCACTCAGGAGGCAGAGGCAGGTGGCTCTCTGTGAGTTCGAGACCAGCCTGATCTACAAGAGCTAGTTCCAGGACAGCCTCCAAAGCCACAGAGAAACCCTGTCTTGAAAAACCAAAAAAAAAAAAAAAAAAACCACATTTTTTTTCCCACATTTTCCTACCATCATTCCTCAGCATGTTAGTATATCAAGTTAGTATACTTTGGATTGTACTGAGTTACAGCACTTCATTTTAAAATTAGTGTTTGAGTTAATTGAGCTTTATTTTTTTAATCTGTGAATTTTTCTTGGTATTAGAATTTCCAATAATTTCTGAAATGGCTTTAACCATACTTTGGCCATTTTGTACTTTATGATGCAAAGCAGCATTCTCAGAATTGATTATAAAATCAAAATACCAACCAATTTTGAAAGACTTTGAAGATGTTCCACATTCTACAGTATCAAAATATTCAGCCAATCCCCACAGAATGGGAAAAGACCTTCATTGACCCCATGTCTGATAGAGGGCGGATTTCCAAAATGTACAAAGAACTCAAGAAAATAGACATCAAACTATCAAATAATCCAATTAAAAATGGGGTACATAGAATTTTCAACAGAACAACCTCAAATGGAGGAAAGACACTTAAGGAAATGCTCAATATCCTTAGCCATCAGGGAAATGCAAATCAAAACCTCTGAGATTCCATCTTACACCAATAAGAATGGCTAAGACCAAAACCACCAATGAGAGCTTATGCTGGAGAGGATGTGGAAAAAGGAGAATACTCCTCCATTGCTGGTGGGAATGCAAACTTGTACAGCTTCTGTGGGAATCAGTATGGCATAATCATAATAGCCAGTTCTTGGAAACAACCTAGATGCCTCTCAACTGAAGAATGGATAAAGAAAATGTGGTATATTTACACATGGAATACTACTCAGCAGTAAAAAACAATGACATCCTAAATACACAAATGGACAGAACTAGAAAAAAATCCTGAGTGAGGTAACCCAAAACCATAGTATGTACTCATTCATAAGTGGATACCAGACATAAAACAAAAGATACCCAGTCTACAATCCATAACCCCAGAGAAGTTAGAGTCCTCTTCCAGAAACAGATGAAAGCAGATACAGATATCCACAGCTAACCAATGCGCCAAGCTCCTGGAGTACAACCAAAGTGAGGGAGGAGAGATAATATGAACAAAAGAGTCAAGACCACGATGGGGAAACCCACAGAATCAGCTGATCCGAGCTAGTTGAGAGATCACTGAATCTGATCTGACAATTTTGGAACCTGCATAAGACTGAACTAGACTCCCTTAATATAGGGACAATGGTGTGTGTCTTCATAATAAGACAATGGTGTGACCAGGACAATATATGAGGTCACTGGCAGTGGGTCCAAGACCTAACATTAATGTACAAATTGACTCAGTGGAACCCATTCTATATGGAGAGATACCCTGCTCAGCCTAGACAAAGGGGTGTGAAGGTTGGAGAGGTGCCTTGGTCTTGCCTCAATGAGATGATGGGACACTTTAGTAGACTTCCTAGGGGAAACCTTTACCCTCTCCGAGGAACAGATGAGAGGGGGAAGAATAGGGGGTAGAGGGAGGAAAGAAGGGAGGGGGAACTGGGATTGGAATGTAAAAAATAAATTAATTTTAAAAAAGAAAAAATATTCAGCCAATATTTCATTATTTAAAAATAAGCATATACATCTCATTAACATGTGAATTGTTTATATTCCAAAGAATTGCTATGTAATAAACTTATGAATGATTTATTATCAGCAAAAGTTTTATTTGTATACTTATGTATCTATATACCTACTTTAGTATACAAATTTCTCATGCAAAAAGGAATACTGAGTGGGAAAAGGTTAAGAAACTCTGATATGTAAGATCTCTTGTTTCTAACAAAATTGTCTATATTAATCATGTAAGAGAATTTTTTCCAAGCAGGCTTTATTTGTGTCTACACAAGACAAAAATGACAATATAAACTGGGTTGCTAAGTCAGCAAAACAAACAAAAATACATCCTATATCTTATTTTTCCACAGTTTCCATAACATGTTAATTTTCAGCTTTCTATAAAAAGAAAAATTATTTTATAATCATTATTCAGTTTCTCCTGGTTATTGAGTATATTTATTTAAATAGGTAGAAACTGAAAAGCATCTTGAATGGTAATTTTCATTCTATTCAATTTTAAATGTATTTCTATTACCCTTAAATTCACAAAGTCCTGTGTTTTATTATGGCATTTTAACATATACCATGTCCCTCCTTACAGTGCATTCCCCTATCCTGTGCTCTCCTCTTGC